CAGGCCGACCCGGCTGCTGGGGCGGCGAGGAGCCAGCCCCGTCATCCAGCTGCGCGGGTAGCTGCTGGAAGGGAACAGGGAGGGGAGGGCAGGGCTCACCTTCGTGGACAGCGATGATATGGGGGTGATTGAGGGACGACATGATCTCAATCTCTCTCCGGATATGGAGAAGGTCCTGCTCATCCTTGATTTTGTCTTTCCGGATTGACTTGATAGCCACCTGCGGGTGAGGAGACATGCAGAGGGGTGACCCGGAGCCCAGCAGCAGCACAGCTTCCCAGGGCACGTTGCAGAGCAGGAAACGTAACCCGCTCTTTGGGGAAGGGGCTCACAAGCAGCACGTTTGGGCCCCGGCCTCTCCAGCCTGGTTGCGTGCTCTGCTTGAGGGCTGCGCGTCAAGTCTCCACTGCAGTAACTCCCGCGAGAAGAAGTTTTATCAACCAGGTTTTTACAGTTTCCAAGTCTTTCTGCTGTGCACAAGGGAGGGTCCCACCCCCACCAAGGGAAACCTGCTGCCAGCTCCTAGAGAGGTTCGCCAAGCTTCCTTGCACGGGCAGCGCAGACCTGCTTCTTGTTTATTTGCAGTGGCTTACAGGAATCGCGTCCTCGGCTAGAGCTGCCGGCTGGATTACGGCCAGCGAAAGGAATGTGACCTGCACACATGACTCAGGAGATAACGACAACATCTTCTTGGGGTCGTGAAAATGAGAAAACAGGTTTTGTTTTCCCTGCAAATATTTATTTCAGGGAGCTGATTATGTAGAGGTAAGAGAAAGTTTGGCATTAAGGAGCAGATCCTGCCTAGGAGCAAACACAGCACCTTGCTCCAGCCAGCTGGGAGACCCAGCACCAACGATCCAAGCTGCCTTCCAGGCTTTGCTTGGGTTTTCAAGTTATCCTCTACAAGGAAATTGAAAGGGGAGGAGAAAGAGGAGTTAGTGCTGGAGAATAGATGCCTTCTAATCCTCTTTCAAAGGAGCTAGGGAGAGACAATATACTCCTAGGGCTGAATTTACAACTGAATCCAGCAGAACCTCTTTTTTTGTATCAGACAAGAATGCGGAACAGCATTAATCCCGTAAAGGGATCCTGGAGGAGACGGAGCACCAGGTCTCCCAGCAACAGGGAGAGGGGCCACGGACACCCGCCGGCCCCCAGCCGCCAGCGCCAGCTCCGCGCCGATGCTCACGGCCAGAACCC